CCAATTTCGAATTTTCCAACATATTTCAGGATTCGAACCCTTAACACAACAGCCTCAAGCAAAGTTGGAATTTTTCCACCTTCCCCTTTTACCACTTGAAGATGTGCCCTGGAAGCTAACCTATCATTTAAATCCATCTAAACAGTGTTTTCATCCCCACTGGGGATGAATAACATTATTCGAAAAAGAATTTCAATTTCATATTTGTTGGAAAATAAAAATCTACCAAACTCATAAAAATTAGTTTTTCATGAAAACAAAGAAAATGTCATTTAAAGTGGTTGTAACTTGAAATTTGGTTTTCATTTCCACATTGTAATCAAACAGTCAAAATTGAATTCGTTTTTTTATGTGTGACATTTTCCATAGAATTCGTTATAATCAAACAGGGCTAATAGAAATAGAATAATAAAATCAATCTTGGTGAATATCATCTGTTAGATCATTCTTTAGCTTATGTCACATTACATCATTTAATTGAATAATTTAAAATAATAAATTTTTTAACCAATCTTTTTTGGCAACACACCAAATGTCATCCATAGTGTAAATACTAGTGGGGGTAATTAGCAAAAAAATATTCTATTGTTTGTACTCATTGTGAAAATAATCCATATTATTTCAAACTTGATATTTACACTCTCGTTTCAAATATTTATTGTGAAGTTGATACTTTCCGTCATGTTCCATTTGCCTAATAAGCCCCTATTTGGACAGCATTATTTCAAGAATGAAAATAATAAATTGTACCGTTGGAGTTCCAATTTTTCAGAAAATGTGAGATGCAAGTCAACCAAGGGCCCAAGTGGGGCCCTTCAACGGCACAAAATTTTCTACAAATGGAGGAATAATGCCGTCCAAACAAGAGCTAAATCCTTCCATAAAATATGGGTAATTGACTCAAAATATTTATATCATTTGCCTCCGCGGTGTAAATCATCCACATCTTTTCTATTTTGACATTTAGGCACTCAAATAGACATCCCTTTGCATAAAATATCCTTACTATCTATTTTGTTAATTAAAATACTGTAAAATGACAATTTACCATTTTCTTTAAATAAAAAGAAAAGAAAAGAAATAGTATAAAAAATTACCTCTAGAGTTTCAATTTTTTTTGAAAAATACAAACGAATCTCACGTTAAATAATTTAAAATATTCTAAC